ATCGATTATTTTTTATGAAAATCGATTTATCCGTTATAATGAATCGAACACTTTCAATAAATGATTTTTGTTTTTTTAAGATAATGGAATAATCGATTTTAAAGAAATTACAAAAAGAAAGTAGATTTATTCAAAATATTCGATTGATTAAAAATAAACGATTTTTTTAGAAAAATCGATTTATTGTTCAATCGGCCTTTTTAATTAACCGAATATTTTCGAGTAATCGATTATTTTCGATTTTTCAAAAGTATTCGAATAATTTGTTTTAACCCATTAGTGCGTCGAGTCTCTCTAAAGGGACGTCACTATTTTCCGAAGTCTACATCTTCCTAACCCTACTTTCGAAGTGTGATGGTGCTTGTTACTTTATTTAAGACATTCGCGCATCGGGGACAACACTAATCATTTGTAGTGCGCATGTCGTACGCGTTTTATTTATACATCTCCTTTTGATAGAGTAGATGAGCTGTGTCCAGGCCGTTGCTGTTTATGCCGGTCGGCGTAGCCAGGTATGGACTGAAACTGAAACGAGAAGTCGTTACTTCGTCTTCTTGTTGTCACGGCATTATTATTATTTGTTCATGTATGTGAAATTAGCTTCTAAGGTTTATAAAATACTACTGCTAGTCACGGCGTAAATGAAAACAAACCAGACGTATTTACCAGGGCCGACTAGAGGGGGGGCAGCCGGGACTAATTCCCGGGGCTCGGGCTCAAGAAGAGGAGAAATTTTTGCTACCTTTTGTTATTTAATTTTTGAATTTTTGATAAAATACATTTAAAAAATACATTTATAAAAACGACAAGAAATAAATAAACATACAAATTCACAGAAGCAGTACTTACATTGTATACCGCTTGTACGTGATAATTCATAATAATAATAATAATTTTTTTTTGTGTTAAACATTAATGTAAAATTAAATAAATTGTTACATATTAGGTAGGCATATTATAGGCTAAAAACGTCAAAATCGGGTGATGTCAAAATCGGATGATGTCAAATCCGGGATTTTTTGTGAATGACCATTATAATGCGAGAAGGTCACAAGAGGGTATTAGCCATATTCGGTTGGATGTCTTATTTTGGGTAAGTATAGTTATTTATATATTTATATCTATTGTAAAATTTACATAATTAATTTAATAAAGTATAAAACAATTTTCTGGGTTGTTTAATAACCATTTTTTTTAACATAGATTTAAATAAATTGTTTTCTTTATTTATTTTTATATGTTCAGGAATTAAAATATATCATTTTGGACCTATAAAGCTATAATGTCTTTGTCCAATGGTTTTACTACTATTTGTATTAATTTTATGTTACCCTACTGAATATTTGTTAAGAGAGTTAAACAATATATTTGCCATATATTTAGAACTCCTGCATCCAGAAACAGACGATCACTTGAGTATGAACGCTCTTTATTATTCATAAGTTTTAGTATCCATTTTTGTACCACATTTAACTTTTCTAGATAAGAAAAACTGACCCCACCCCAAGCTATGATGCCGTATGATAGTTGCGATTGCACTAATCCGTAATAGATGATTTTTGTACTAATATCTTTACTGGAAGATGCTGAGCAACGAAATGTAAACATATTACATAGCGCCAGTTGACCATGGAGCAGACACAGATGAAGACAGCGATGACAAATTGGATGATGAACAAATTGTATGTTTTGGTATAATAAAACAAAATTGTAAAATATTTCAAAGAGAAAATAATTTCAACGACATATAGGAATCTTTACTAGAACAACTGTTTGCTGTTTCTGAATCTGATGATTTATACAATGCCAGCACTAGCCAGTCAGGTTCAAAGATAAAAAGCAGAAGCTTCACAGTTGGACAAGCGATGCTCCCGGTTTTTCTGAAAGAATCTTCTTCAGAAGCTAAATATGCCCAGACTCTTGTAGATTTTTCTATTTTTTGATGAAAATCTTATATCTAAAATCGTAAAAGAAACAAACCGATTTGCACAATAGAAAAATAGAGATTTGCAGTTCAAAAAGGTTTTTCGTTTTATTGGGTGGAGTGCTGTTATCTGGATATGGGATCTCCTCAGAAAAGAATGTACTGGCATTCAACAGAAGACATGCTAAAAATGTTATCTAACAGTATGCGAGGAAAAACTATACTACCTCATCCCATTGCTTCTAGATTTGACAATATAGTACGCTATAATGAAACTAACAGAAGGTGCCAAGAGTGAAAGAAAAAATCAAATTTCAATTATGTAAATTGTGATTGTGGACTTCATCCTAAAGTTCGTTTGGAAGCTTATCCCAATTAAAATACTTTTCTGTTTTTATCTATTAATAATTTTCAATTTGTACTTGTAATATGTTCAGTTTGCATGAAGTCTCTTTAGAGGGACACTTATAATTGGGGTAATAAAAAATATTAAATATATTTTTATGATTTTGTTTCAACTTTTATATATATTTTAAAATTAATATTACATTAAAAATATCCAAAAAATCGAAGACTTTATAACTTCATGCACCAATGGGTTAAAAGAAATACGAAAAAATAGATTATATGAAAATAATCGATTGATCGAATATAATCGGTTATTTTGTATAATATTTCGTTTTTTTTTTAGAATTATCGATTTATCGGTCAATCAGCTTTTTATTAATCGATTATTTTCAATTTATCGAGTATTTTCGATTTTTCAAAGATAATCAAATAATCAATTTTAAAGGAAATATGAAAAAAAAAAGATTATTTGAAAATAATCGATAATTCATTTATTTTTGTGGAAAATCGATTTATCATAGAATCGGCTTCTTTATTAATTGGTTATTTTTGCTTAATCGATTATTTTCGATTAACGATTATTTTCGAATAAACGATTATTTTAGATATTTCAAAAATGATTTGAATAATCGATTTTAAAGGAAATAAGATAAAAATAGTTTATTTAAAATACTCGATAATTCGATATTTTTTTAATCGATTTATCGATTAATCCATTCCTTAATTATTCGATTATTTTTGATTAATCGATTATTTTCGATTTTTCAAAGATTAATAAAAAATATGTTTCAGTGGAAATACGGAAAAATAGATTATTTGAAAATAATCGATTATTCAAAATGAACGATAATTCGTTTATTAATTTTTGTAAACACTGATTTATCGGTTAATTGGCTTTTTAATTAATCGATTATTTTTGATTTTTCAAAAATACTCAAGTAGTCGATTTTAAAGGAAATACGAAAAAAAATAGATTGTTTGAAAATAATCGATTGATTGAAAATAATCGATTGATTGAAAATAATCGATTGCTCGAAAATAATCGATTATTATCAATTATCGATAGTTTATTTCGATAATAATCCACCCCTAGCGAACAAATGACTTTTAATAGATTTAAATTTTAAAATGTTATTTGGTTTCAAACATATGCATTTCTAGAGTTTTATGTGACTTATCCTCTATAATAATTAATATTCCTAAAGAAAGAAGCTTTAATATACCTTTTTCTGAGGTTACAATATACAACAGCATTTTCTCATTTTGACTAATTTTTAATATTATGTAGAAAAAATATAATATTCAACTCACAAGGTTTGATTTGTAGTATTCGCCTACGCACATGCTTTTTTTATAATACTCATAGACAATGAGTACCATTTCTTGCTCAATTAACAATATTTTATTTCAACATTTTACTGTACTCTTTTGCAGAAAAGTCCGTAGTAAATAAACGCTAACGAAATATTCTATAAAAGGTCTTCTCTTTACATAAAATGTTGTAGTATCTGTTTGATATTAAAAAAATCACGTTAATTTTATTTCATAATACAAAATTCCATTAAAAATTTTTCAGTAAATCTAATAGTTATGATGCTTATAAACAAAGGCCGTCCCTGTGACAAAGTTCGGATCTCCACCCAGTTCCCCCACTCCGTTAACATTTCTTTAGAAATTGGCAACATTTGCGTAGGTTAAACACTGGTGTATGTTATATCTTTATCTAAGGTTTTACAATAGAACTCTTCTGATATAAAAGTCATATTACTATTAAAAGAAACTTACCAAAAATAACTTTCGACCCGTACAATTTTTTATTGGTTGCTTATCACGGTCTGCCCAGTTAAATTTAATGGCAACTTGGTTGCTGAGAAACTGAGAAGATATTTCATAATGTTCATGGTACAACTCCGCCGATGCAGGAGAGGCGATTTTCTGCAAAAAAAGAATAATTATAATTAAAGTTATTTTAGACATTTTATAGAATAAAAATCAACTGGCGAATAAAAAATGGAAAATAAATGTTATAGTAATAAATACAATGGCCCTTGTGCTTCTTTAAATTGATATACCTAGGGTTTTACATGTGGTTAAAAAGATGCTTTGTGAATTGGGCATAAGTGTAATTTACAGGTCAAACTGTTTGACATTAAGGTACCAACATCAAATATGCATTATATCTTAATAACATTTTAGTAAATGCACATGCTCTTTTTCACGTAATAAGTAAATCCTCGGAAGTCAGAAAAGGATTATGCCCAATTGTTTCTTCTTTGTATAGCGTCATATCCTATGTGTGCATACCAAGTGGCCCATTAGTGCGAAGAAGTTCAATAATACCTTTCTCATCATAAGAAATAATACATATAACTTTCTTATTGACAGTTAAGTTAACATATTTGATAAATACAAAGATAACGGTTAGCTGAAATGTCCGAGAAGATCAAAAGTTTATTTTTATGTACAGGCGATATTTATCAACTTACTAATCTTGAAACATCTTAAATTCCGTTTTTTCAAATTAAACACTCAGTATATTATTTAACTACTTTATATTTTTTATAATAATATAGGCCCTAAAAGTCAAAGTTTTAGATTTTTTAAATTGATACTTCAAAAAATAGAGATAAATGAAACATTGGATTTCCACACACTAATGGGTCACCTTGTATAAACATAAATATGTAAAAATTTGAGAATAGCGAGCAATTTTGGATAATTGTTACAGTTTGGGCGGAAACCGGAGATTTTCGGGATGCTCACAACGGGATGACGGGATCAACAATGGACCATCCTCAGTTACCTTTTCCTGCTGCCGTTAGGACGAGAACACGAGAAAGAAAAGGTAAGATTTTTTCTTAAATTTTTATTTACGTTGTGTATTAATATATTAATATTGACTTTAAAATGAAGTATCACACTTTATGATACGTAATATTTTTTTCCCGCTAGAGGGCGCTTGAATAAAAAATAACGCAACAAATTGTCATAAAGGTGGATTCTCCATTAAATTATCCTTTCAATCATGTGTAACATTTGGTACTCTCCCTATTTAAATTGTATTGGTTTGAGTAGCGGAAAAGAGTAAGTTTTCATTTAAAATAATTGACAGATATCTTGGATGTATTAACCTTTTATATAAGTATATCGCAGAGTAGTAGAAAGACTTATTACAAATTTACTATTAGCAGAACTTAAGAAGTAAGTACTAACGGGACGAACAACTTACAACTATGACTATTTACCACAAACTTTGATTTTCTTTTACTATACGGAGAATGGTCGCACTGCGCAGCTTTCTGAGTGCCTTTTAAAAGAAGATAGAAAACTCCGCCATTTTGAACCCTTATTACGTGTTGCCTACATCTTGGCGCAATATTTTTAATAGGTGCGTTTTAATCATCCGCTTCTGCGTCGGAATTGTCGGTTTTCTTGTTTTAATCTGACAGGTTAAAACGACTAAACTGACAATTCCGGAAGCAGAAGCGGATGATTAAAACGCACCTGATATTTTGCTTGCTGCTGTCAGTGTCAGTGAATATTGGCCGCATTCAGCAGAAGCAATCGATTTATGATTTTCTGCTGAATGATATATAAAAGAGCGATTAGTAATCAAATGATGAGTTATCGGCCGCCATTTAAAACATCGAATTTGAAATACGATTAGTTATCACATCGTGTCATCGTGATTAGATTTAGAACTCATACCAACTAAAGTGAATGTTTTGTGGTGGTGCTCATAACTCATAACCTTATTTTATGTTTATTTTGAATTCATTTTTACACTGGATTTGTCATTTTTCACTGAAATGGAGGACTTTGAAGTGATATATGTTTATAACAATATGAAATGTACCTATGGTTTAGATGATGACTCTTTGCTGAAGTACATGTCACTTTTATGTCGCCTGTCGAAATGCCTAAAAGTTCATTCAGGAGATTCACTAATCGATAAGTCATCGCTAAGTTATCGTTTGATAATCGGTTGCTTCTGCTGAATGCGGCCATTATTTTTGAAGTCACAGTTTATTGCTAAAGAATCAGTTAGCTCACTCGGACCAGTTGAAAGTTCCAAAATAACATCCACTCCAGGGATACAAATTCAGGATACGCAGAAGACTGCTGTTTTATTATAGGCGGTTGTCATATATTTTATTATCCGAGTTGCACAGTGTATAAACTGAAACATTGAGATCAAAAGTGCCGAGGCAGAGTGAGCGATCCGATTCTTTAGCTGTAAACTGTGTCACAGGGTTCAAAATGGCCGCGCCCTATGTTGGGCGTGTCGGACCTCTCTCTTGCCTCGTATAGTAATCAAAGTATGTGCTATTTACTAACATTGACTATTGACAAGTAACATTTGACATCCCACTAAACATAGAAACTTACAAACATTTCCAATAAGTTTATTTTCGGCTTGTAAATAACTTATATCGATAAGTATGTGCAAAATTTATTATAATTTTGCAAATTTTAGTTTATATTCGGCAGTTCTTAGTATATGCTTTAAGGACCATTTAGATATATTTTTAAACTATAAATGAAGGTAGGTACTTAAATCTATTTGTGTAACTTATGAAAATCAAATTATCCGAAAATGTATTTCAAAACTTCTAGAAGCGAACCGAGGTTTACATTCTTTGTCGTCTCAATATTTCGAAACGAACGAAATAATGACTTGTTCTGGTTTCTTCAAAATGTGCTGCAAACCATTCGAGATCTGGAACAGTTGAATATTAAATTATTTGCCTCGTAAAACTTTTAAACTATCCACTGGTTAGCTAGAATATTTTTTTACGGAACCATATTCTCGTAGTTAGTTAATAGTTGGGACAGTTGCCCCTCCCTAGTTTTTGCGACTTAATCAACAACGTGTAAGATATACATTACTGATATTTTGTTAGGTAGGTACTATAGGCTCTTTTAGCCTGTACATCCCAAAAACATAAAAAATAATACTTTTTTCACACCGATCAGAAAATGAAAATAGTCGACAAATTTGGAATCGACAATTTTGAAGCTGAATACCAAACTTGACTACGAAAGAGCCTCTTGTAGACAATGAGCTCTCCGTTAATGAAATAGCTGAACATGGCTGCGGTCTACAATGAATGAGAATAGGCGTCTGTGCTACGCAAAATAAGTGTACAGATATTATTGTCTTCTGTTATCGATATTTTTGGTAGAGAAAAAAGAAATTTAAATATTGCCGATTTTGCGTTTTCCTAAAGGTTTTGATTGGGTTCGTCGGCATGTTTGAGTAAGTTTTTTATATTTTCGTGTTTCTATAAATAATTTTTTTATCTTCTTGTTCCTATTTTTCTTTTATATTAGACCTTCTGTTTGTTTTCAAAAATATGAGTTTAAGGATCTGTGAGAGGGTGATAGGGTAGGTTGGGGAATAGCATTATTATTGGCCTCCTCACTTCCCTGGGATTTAATTTCTTTTACTTTTGCGCGACAAGATTTGGATATGAGTTTTAACGTTACATATTCCTGTGCTGCAATCAGTTTTTTTCCCTCAGCCTCTTGTGATGTTGTACACGAAGGGCTTGCTGCATTTCCACATCTTGTAGTTCATCAATGAATGCCTGTATACCGACTTGATCTTAGAAATCTTTGGGCGCCTGTGGATAGGCTAGAAGAATCAATCGTTTTATATCGGCCTCTCCTTATGTTTCTGGCTACGAACCTTAATTGGCTTTGAAATATCCGTTTCAAATTCTGCTGACCATACCTTGTCTCCAAGTCTTGAACAAAGGACGTATAACTGGGTACCCCACTGTAAAATGGTTGCTGCCTGTCCTCGCAGCGACACTATCAATGCCAGCCACTATCTCTTTTTTAGCCCAGCCATTGACTCTAGCTGCAGCTTTAAATTGGAGGCAATACTTTTCCCATGTTGTCTGACCGTCAAACGTGGGTGGTTTAAGGATCTTGCTAGTAGGGATTTGTGAAACTGGGTTCTTAATATGGCTTGGTTCGATTACAGATGAGGACAAGGTAGTGTTTTGAGTTTTTCTGTTGCTTATCGAAGCTAGGCTACGAATTCTTCTTTCTAACTTAATTAGTTCCGTTCTAATTTGCTTTTCGAACTCTACTATAGCCTTTTTCTGTTGTTTTAAATTAGTTTTCAAATTATCTTGCTATTTATCTAAATTAGCTTTCAAATTATCTTGCTGCTTTTCCAAATTAGTTTTTAGATTCTCTTGCTGCTGTTGTAAATTCGCTTTTAAATTATCTTGCTGCTGTTCTAAATTGGCTTTTAAATTCTCTTGCTGCTGTTCTAAATTGGCTTTTAAATTATCTTGTTGTTGTGTTAAGAGATCTACTCGGCTATTTAGTTGACCTACCTCTTGCTTAAGGTTTTCTTGAATTTGCAGCAAATCAGTCATAATTTCTACCTCAGCTTTTTTACGCTTCTCTTCCTTCTCTTTTTTCGTCCTTCCTGCGTCTTTCCTTTTTCTCTTCCCGCCTTTCCTTTTTCTCCTCTTCTTCCTTCCTGCGTCTTTTCTTCTCCTCCTTCCGCCTTTCCTTTTCTTCCTTCATGCGTCTTTCCTTCTTCTCTTCCCGCCTTTTCTTTTCCTCCTCCATCTTCAAAAACCATGCTGGGGGTCCTGAAGTATCCATGCCTGTTTCGTACTCAGTGGATCTAGTAATCACCATGAACTTCTATTTTGTAACCCACCGCTGTCACCAATGTTACGCAGATTTTTGGTATCTCAATTTATTTCAACTCAACTTTTACAATAACTATCATCTGATAACATTAACGTATAATGTCTATCATAAAACTGACTGCCTGACGTCAGGATCACCGACTTATAGAGCTTGCTTTCACCTTCTCGAACCTTCTCGAAATGTCCAGATTTTTCATAACGTGAAATGACATTTTTCGAATATTCCTCCTTCTTCTTTTACTTATAACTACCGCAGCACGCTGCAGGGTGCTGCGTAACAATATATTAATTCAATTTTATACCTAGTAAGTTTTTTTTTCAACCTATTAGAGGTAAATACTTTTAGTGCCTACCTATACTTTCTGCATTTTTAAATAGTATATCAATTTAAGTTTCTATGTATATTTATGTTGTTTTTTCTATTACACAAGTTGTTTAATTTGTACATAAATTATTAAATGTACTTAAATTATAATAGAATATTTTTGTTGTTTTTTATGATTAAAAATTCTGTTATATTTTAACACCTTTTAAACCTATATAACTCTTGAACTAGTTGAGATAATGAAATGTAGTTTTCATCACTCTTCTTCTAATTTTTATATTTATTTTTTGTGTATTCTCTTTTTTATGGCTTACTTCCAATCTAACCGAATGTGACATTTCATATTTTCAGGGATAGGACAACTATGTTGTTTCAAATACAGTACCTTGTATATTTTTCTCAATTTGAAAGTCCAATATTTCCACTTTCTATAGGTGCCATTGCTTTGTAGGGTAATACTGGGTTATTATTTAATTAGCTTTTAAAATAATAACAAAATAACAAGGATTTAATAATAGATTATTACTAAATAGATTGTCTTTTTTTAATCGTAGAAAATATAGTTCATGCAAATAAATTAGTCAATTATAAAATAAACGTCTCAAACACGGAAAACCGCATAATAAAATTACGAATTAATATTATAATCTGAAAGGTAATTACATTTATTGTCAATGGAAAACATCAAAGGCAAAGGAAATGCAAATCTTAACCTGGTAGGTACCTAAGTATAAGTAAACTTATTTCTGTACCTACAAGACAAGCGCTTGGAACAACTTTATTTACGAATACCAAAAAGACATTTTCATATCCAATTTATTTCTAAACCATCTGTCCCAC